ACTTTGGAATATGCAACCAGGTTGTTTTCACAACCGGGTGTACGCGCAAGAGACCTGGCGAAGCTAGCCGCTTCATCTTTGAGGGCCTGGAAGGCCACAAGGACTTGTTCCTCGGCCAAGATATGCTGCAAGTAAATATAACTATTGACACTGGCTTCCCAGTTGTCAAAGTTTTCTTCCTTCTTTCCCCCGTACGCATCCGGAAACTTAAGCTTCACTGGGTCCTTACGGGGCCTGGCCTCTCCCTCTGCGGCGACTACAGCTTTGGCACCCTGAATGGCGCCCTCACAAAACTTCCCTACATTGTCTCTCAACTGTTTGACTTCGCCCCCAATATGGGTGACGATCTCGCGCGCAAAGTCTCTAAACCCTGACCGCATGGCACTCAAGGCTACATCTTGGCTCCAACTTGCCTGGCGCTCTTCCATCCAGGCCTTGCTCAACACCTCTAGATAGCCCAGTACCTTGTCCCACTTGGCCTTATCATCTGGCAGGGCCAGCACCTCCGCTCTACACTCCTGCACCTTTGCCACTGCTGCGGTCATCTTATTCATTTCCTCTCTCCTCCTCTTCTTCTCCCTCTTCATTCTCAACTTCCATGCTAACTTTTGCTCGTCTTCCCTCTCTCTTCGTTCCATACTGTCAGTCATGGCTGCTAGCTCAGCGGCCAGCGCAGCCTTTTCATCCTTAGTTACATAGGACTCCGCCTCCTCGTCTTCCCCCAACGATAAATTAGCGACCCACTCGCTGATCTTCTTCTCCAGCTCAGTATATGTCTCCCACTTCATCGTGCCACCGCTGCTCCCTTCTCCACTCTTAATTCTCATTCTCTCTTTCTCTTCTTCTGCTGCCGCTTCTGCTTCAGCAGCCTTCCTTCTTTCTTCCTCCTCCTGTTGTACCCTCTTCATCTTCGTCGCCTGCTCATCTGCGATAGCCTTTAGCTTCGCCTGCTTCTCGCACTCTTTTCTCTCCTTGTTCTCTTTCACTAAGGCGGTCATCTTTGCTTGCTGCTCAGGGGTGTACGGACTAGTCCCCGTCCCACTACGGGTCTCAACCATGGTGATAAGTGTACAACCGGGTTAGTGGTTCCAAACCTCACCATGTAGACTCTGACCCCTGACTGACAAACCTGTAGCCTCAATCTAAAAACCCACAAAATCATGACAAGGACCCTGTCAACTATGGTCTCTAGCCTAGACCTATGCTATGGCTGTTACTACTGAACCAGTGGCTGATCAGGAGGCATTTAAGGAGATCCCCCGTAACTCCTCAAGAATTCTTTAACGTCGCAGACAGGACGACGTGATCAGCTTGGTTCTGCCTGTGCTTTCAGCCCACAACTCAGCCTTTCCGGCCTACTGTGCCACACCGAGCAGCCCGCCGGTCTGTACCGGTCCTTGGGAGGGTTTGTATCCCCCAGGACAGTCGAGTCGTCAGAAACAGATCATCAACCTTACTTGGTCTGGTAGGGGAGTGGTTCCAACAGACCCTCAACACTTAAAGACGGCCTCGTTTCAGCCTGCAGCTCAGAGTTCGGACCCTCTACATTGAAACTGAGCAGACCTGCCGGACAGTACCGGTCATTGGGCGAGACGAGTTGTTTAACGAGCGCTCGCCGCTCATGCCCAGGTCTCCAGATACCAGAGTAGAGATTAGTCCTACTAAGTC